CAACTAATGTACTCTTCATGAGTGAATACGTCAAGTAATGTACTCTTCAAGAGTGAATACGTCAAATAATGTACTCTTCAAGAGTGAATACGTCAAATAATGTACTCTTCAATATTAACCATTTAAAAAAAATGATCAACAAAACCAATAGATCAATAATTTTACGCTTTTCAAAAATATAATACAAGAATTATCGTCATATACTTGGAAGTTTCAAACTGCCTAGGACACCATTAACTTATTAGAAGTTACTCAAAACTCATAAAACAGCCGACAATTCTCGCCATTACAGAAACAAAGTTATTGTTTATAAATACTTTTTCCAAATACTTCAAATTATATTCAAAAAATTGTTGCATATATATATATATATATATATATATATATATATATATATATATATATATATATATATATATATATATATATATATATATGTCGTACCTAGTAGCCAGAACGCACTTCTGAGCCTAATATGCAAGGCCCGATTTGCCTAATAAGCCAAGTTTTCCTGAATTAATAAATTTTCTCTAATTTTTTACTTATGAAATGATAAAGCTACCCATTTCATTATGTAAGAGGTCAATTTTTTTTTATTCGAGTTAAAATTAACGTATATGTGTGACCGAACCTAACCAACTCTACCTAACCTAACCTATCTTTATAAGTTAGGTTAGGTTAGGTAGCCGAAAAAGTTAGGTTAGGTAGGTTAGGTAGTCGAAAAAACATTAATTCATGAAAACTTGGCTTATTAGGCAAATCGGGCCTTGCATAGCAGACTGAGAAGAGCGTTCTGGCTACTAGGTACGACATATATATATATATATATATATATATATATATATATATATATATATATATATATATATATATATATATATATATATATATATATATATACTGGGAAATGGGTTATACCTCTCAGTGTATTTTCATTTCTTGTGTGAGAGGTGTTTATTATTTTTAGCTCTAGGTAGCAGCTGGGAACCTGGGACCAGAGACAACAGGTGTTTTATGAGACCATCAATGTAGGTCTCCCTGCATTGATGTCTCCGTGACACCCATGCCATCAATGCAGGGGGTCAGCATTGATGGCACGGGGAGGATACGAATGAGGCTTTGATCTGTCTAATCTTCTGTAGCAAAATCCGTCCAGTGCACCCACACACACACACCCTGACAAACACGCACACGTAACTAGAGCCAATCAACACTGCCCCTAGACAGGTCAACGCTCTCTAAAACTCACGTGTAATCCTGCAGAGGTGAGACCATACGACAAGACGGTGGAGATCACGGAGCTGGAGGTGCCAGAGTCGCCCAGGGCCGGAGACGACGTCACCCTCACCTGTCGCTTCAAGCTGCACGGCAACGGACACAACCTCATAGGGGGGCCTCATAGCCTGGTGGATAGCGCGCAGGACTCGTAATTCTGTGGCGCGGGTTCGATTCCCGCACGAGGCAGAAACAAATGGGCAAAGTTTCTTTCACCCTGAATGCCCCTGTTACCTAGAAGTAAATAGGTACCTGGGAGTTAGTCAGCTGTCACGGGCTGCTTCCTGGGGGTGGAGGCCTGGTCGAGGACCGGGCCGCGGGGACACTAAAAAAGCCACGAAATCAACTCAAGATAACCTCCACACCGTCAGCTGGTGGAGGGGCAAGGACCAGTTCTACACCTACAAGGGCACCAACCACGACCCCAAACATGCCTTCACCTTTCGCGGTATACAGGTGAAAGTGAGTAGTGCAACCATGCTGTCTTGCCAACCATGATGTCTTGTAACCATGCTGGCTAACAACCATGCTGGCTGGCTGACAACCATGCTGTCTTGCCAACCATGATGTCTTGTAACCATGCTGGCTAACAACCATGCTGGCTGGCTGACAACCATGCTGTCTTGCCAACCATGATGTCTTGTAACCATGCTGGCTGGCTGACAACCATGCTGTCTTACAATCATGCTGTCTAGAAACTCCCTATAATCCTCCATTGAGGCGACGACACTCCCTATAATCCTTCATTGAGGCGACGACACTCCCTATAATCCTTCATTGAGGCGACGACACTCCCTATAATCCTCCATTGAGGCGACGACACTCCCTATAATCCTCCATTGAGGCGACGACACTCCCTATAAACCATCACATATCGACCACATAAGGCGACTACATCCCTATAACCAACCAATAAGTTAAGAAAATACTCAGAATCTTATATATTGTTAGATAACGAGATCTGATCTCATTCCATTGCTTGCGGGGATCGCTTTCACGTGATAGAAACTAATGTTTAGTGTTTTGATAACCCTCAATATCGCTATTATTATTTTGTTCCCAATGTTTTGCTAGATGTCAGGTCATGTATTTATATACAGAAATTGAATGAATATGTTTACAAGATAAGGCACATGTTCCTTTGTCAATAATTTAGATATACTGTCTTTCACATTCTGTCTCTCTCTGTCTCACTAGAAGGAGGAGTCGACGCGGGAGTCAGTTGTCCTCAAGAATGTACCCGAAGACACTTCAGGGGTCTTCAAGTGTGAGGTGATGGGTGAGGGTCCCTCCTTCAGGACAGCCGTCAAGACCAAGGTCAAGAATATCATAGGTGAGTGATGGGGGATGGAAAGGGAGGGGGAGATATAAGGATGGGAAAGGTGATGATATAATGGATGGGACAGTATATTAAAACAAATCAACCAAGAAATATGGCGCACACGACAAAACATGTTAAAGTAGAATTATATACTTTAACAATTATATGCTGCAAAATACCCACATGACCAATGGGAACACTGTTGTCAAGTCACACTAGTACACTATAACAGTATCTTGAGAACAAAATGTCTCAATTTAAGACAATATGGCACAAAATAGGCCAACTTGGCCCTCTTCTCTAACATTGCAACATAAAATGCAATTGCTAAAAGGTGTCCGCTTCCCCCCCGTCCCCCATCTAAAGAAGGAAACTGAATTAATACCAACCCGGCCCCACACAATCAAGCAGTCTCAGTCTGTGTTCCACTGGAACGAACCAATACAGCTAAATGACCGAGGGACGAGAAGCAACTATGGCCGGGAACTGGCCAATTCCAGAGTCCGGCTCGGCTCCGACCTTGGCACTCACATACATAGCTGGCATTGTTCATTTAAGCTGGGAGATTGGCACTCAGAGCAGGCCACTCTGTGCTATGGCTATCGTTAAGCTTGGCTCCCTGTTTCTACGTCTTTATGGAAGTCGGTCTGTACGTCTGTTTATAATGGTGTTACTGATCCGGCCGTCTGTCTGTGTCTCTGCCTGTCTCTGTCGCTCTGGGAGACGGGGAGGAGTAAGGCAGAGAGAAGGACGTGAGGAAGATGATTGACGTGCAGTAAACAAAGGAAAGTGTGAGCGGGTGTTGGGAGAGTGGAGTGTGTCGGGGAGAGAGTGGAGTGTGTCAGAGACAGAGTGGAGTGTGTCAGAGAGAGAGTGGAGTGAGTAGTTGGTGAGAGAGTGGAATGTGTCGGAGAGAGCTTGGTGTGTGCCAGAGAGAAGTGACAGTGAGAGAGAGTGGAGTGTGTCAGAGAGTTGAGTATATCACAGAGAGTGGAGAGTATCAGAGAAAGAGTCGAATATGTATTAAAGAGAGTGAAAAAATATGCTGTTACTTCAGAGAAGGATAAATGTTTGGGATTAAAAACACAGAAACGCGTGGGTATAAAGAGATTAATGTGTGCAGTAGTGGAGAGGGGAGTATGTGAGTGGTATTAGGGGAGAGGAGGGGGATTACATGAGTGGGGGAGGGGGCAAGGGGAATACAGGTATATGAGTGAGAGTTATAGAAGTATATAGAGTGAGGTATGTACAAGTGAGGTGAGGGTAGAGTCCGTGGGGTATATGTGGTGGGGTGTGAGTGGGAGGTGTAAACTGAGAAATGACAGAGAGACAGAGATAGAGATATTGATTGATTGATAGATTAGTTTATCAACAACTGACGTGTCCATGCTCTTATAATAGCACTTAGAGGGCAAGTACTTTCGTTTTGCCTTCAAAGGACGGAGCTAAAGACCTGCTTCACTACTTCAAGTGTTGCAGGTTATTGAGCTCTCAACCATAGAGGGTAATTTAGTTGAGGATTATAAAAAGGACACTTCAGAAATAATGCTAACCAGCATATATTATTTTTATCTTTCCTCCATAGACAGAATTAGAGAACGTTCACAACACTTTGTGCACTTTGGGACTCTCAACCACAGACAGTAATAGATGTCCTTTTTCAAGTTCAAGCTATAATTGCATCGCATATTACATAGTAAAGCTTTGATACAGCTTCAATATATCAAGTTTTCAAGTATTCAGAAGATATTTAGAGAGCTCAACATATCTCAACCCACGGGGGGGAGGAGGGGGGGCCCGAGGCGGAAGTCAGCCAATATGGGATATATTCTACGATATAATGTTCAGAACATATTTTTTTGTTACATTTTCACACCGTTGATACTGAAAGAGAGGGATGAGAAGGATTATACAGATGAGAGGGATATGGTGAGGGGGAGGCGACGCTGGAGAAAGGGATGTGTAAAGTGCGAGAAGGATGTATGGGTGTAGAGAGAAGGGTGTGTGTGTGAGTGTAGGACAAAAAAAGGTGCATTAGGTGTAGAGTGGGGTGTGAAGCGATAGAGAAAAGGGTGCGAGAGGAGATGCAAGGGACGCTGTAGAGAGGTACAGAATAGTTCATCAATTAACCTCTTACTCCATAATAACAAGATGAGCAACAGCACACACACAGTACACCCAAACACAGAGATATTTCACAGTGAAGAAATCCACAAGGGCCGTTACGAGGATTCGAACCTACGTCCGAGATCATCCCAGAAGCTGCCTTAATCGACTGAGCTACGACATGGTCAAAATCTCTGTGTAACAGAGATATTCCATTCCGGGATTGACTTCCCATTCACTACCCTTACCTTGAAACTTTTATGTATGATTTTTGTTTGGGGGGGGGGGGCGTGAACATCTAGTTACACCTAAATGAATAAACTAGCATTATTATTCATTCCCTGTTGTGGAATCTCCCATGGTTATAGCTCAGTGATCTAGACAACCAGCATTTCATGATAATTATTGAGCGTAGCCTCTCCGTTTATTAAGATATTTTAACAAATTCATTTCGCAAATTAATCAAAAACCAAAAGGGCCTCGTTAGTGCCCACCTAATCACCAAGAGTGCCACTGAACTCTTACCTCAACCATCAGGAATGACACTTTAAAAACCTTGCTGTATAGCCACCTAGCCATAAATTATCTTATCGAGCCATGTGGGTGTCCCCTTAAATCTTAATCCATTCATGCAGAAGGCTCCTAACCACCTATCCCCCCCCACCTATCCATCCCCAGTGCCGCCGAGGACCGTGGAGGTACACTCCTGGGCCGACCCGGACCCGCCCACCTACCGTGCGGGTGAAACTATCCAGATTAACTGTACGGCTAGAGGCGCCAAGCCCAGAGCTCACATTATGTGGGAGATCAACGGAAGACCGGTGAGTTGTGGTGAGTTGGCGGCCATGGTTGTGGTGAGTTGGCGGGCCATGGTTGTGGTGAGTTGGCGGGCCATGGTTGTGGTGAGTTGGCGGGCCATGGTTGTGGTGAGTTGGCGGGCCATGGTGGTGGTGAGTTGACGGGCCATGGTTGTGGTGAGTTGGCGGGCCATGGTTGTGGTGAGTTGACGGGCCATGGTTGTGGTGAGTTGGCGGGCCATGGTTGTGGTGAGTTGGCGGGCCATGGTTGTGGTGAGTTGGCGGGCCATGGTTGTGGTGAGTTGGCGGGCCATGGTTGTGGTGAGTTGGCGGGCCATGGTGGTGGTGAGTTGGCGGGCCATGGTTGTGGTGAGTTGGCGGGCCATGGTTGTGGTGAGTTGACGGGCCATGGTTGTGGTGAGTTGGCGGGCCATGGTTGTGGTGAGTTGGCGGGCCATGGTTGTGGTGAGTTGGCGGGCCATGGTTGTGGTGAGTTGGCGGGCCATGGTTGTGGTGAGTTGGCGGGTCATGGTTGTGGTGTGTTGGTGGGCCATGGTTGTGGTGAGTTGGCGGGCCATGGTTGTGGTGAGTTGGCGGGCCATGGTTGTGGTGAGTTTGGCGGGCCATGGTTGTGGTGAGTTGGCGGGCCATGGTTGTGGTGAGTTGGCGGGCCATGGTGGTGGTGAGTTGGCGGGCCATGGTTGTGGTGAGTTGGCGGCCATGGTTGTGGTGAGTTGGCGGGCCATGGTTGTGGTGAGTTGGCGGGCCATGGTTGTGGTGAGTTGGCGGGCCATGGTTGTGGTGAGTTGGCGGGCCATGGTTGTGGTGAGTTGGCGGGCCATGGTTGTGGTGAGTTGGCGGGTCATGGTTGTGGTGTGTTGGTGGGCCATGGTTGTGGTGAGTTGGCGGGCCATGGTTGTGGTGAGTTGGCGGGCCATGGTTGTGGTGAGTTGGCGGGCCATGGTTGTGGTGAGTTGGCGGGCCATGGTTGTGGTGAGTTGGCGGGCCATGGTTGTGGTGAGTTGGCGGGCCATGGTTGTGGTGAGTTGGCGGCCATGGTTGTGGTGAGTTGGCGGCCATGGTTGTGGTGAGTTGGCGGGCCATGGTAGTGGTGAGTTGGCGGCCATGGTTGTGGTGAGTTGGCGGGCCATGGTTGTGGTGAGTTGGCGGGCCATGGTTGTGGTGAGTTGGCGGGCCATGGTTGTGGTGAGTTGGCGGGCCATGGTAGTGGTGAGTTGGCGGGCCATGGTTGTGGTGAGTTGGCGGGTCATGGTTGTGGTGAGTTGGCGGCCATGGTTGTGGTGAGTTGGCGGGCCATGGTTGTGGTGAGTTGGCGGGTCATGGTTGTGGTGAGTTGGCGGGCCATGGTTGTGGTGAGTTGGCGGGCCATGGTTGTGGTGAGTTGGCGGGCCAAGGTTGTGGTGAATGGATGGGGAAATGTAAACCGCATTGAGCGATTCGATATTGAATTTGGGTTGTTATTCAGTTGGAGAGTGAGTGTTATGTGTTACTCATCCTCTTCACGGTGAGTAAACATAGCAGTTTTAAAACGTTACTCAGCCCCTTCCCTGTGATTTACTCATTGGTGAGAACCTGTGTGTGGATGATGAGAGTCACATAATGTGAGTCTGTTGAGTAAATGTATTATGGAAGGAATGTGTGTGTGTGTGTGTGTGTGTGTGTGTGTGTGTGTGTGTGTGTGTGTGTGTGTGTGTGTGTAATTACCTAAGTGTAGTTACAGGATGAGAGCTACGCTCGTGGTGTCCCGTCTTCCCAGCACTCTTTGTCATATATTGCTTTGAAACTTCTGACGGTCTTTGCCTCCACCACTTTCTCACCTAATTTGTTCCAACTATCTACCACTCTGTTTGCGAAAGTGAATTTTCCTATATTTCTTCGGCATCTGTGTTTAGCTAGTTTAAATCTATGACCTCTTGTTCATATACTTTCAGGTCTCAGGAAATCTTCCCCATCGATTTTATCAATTCCTGTTACTATTTTGTATGTAGTGATCATATCACCTCTTTTTCTTCTGTCTTCTAGTTTTGGCACATTTAATGCCTCTAACCTCTCCTCGTAGCTCTTGCCCTTCAGTTCCGCGTGTCTTTGCACCTTTTCCAGTTTGTTGATGTGCTTCTTAAGATATGGGCACCACACAACCGCTGCATATTCTAGCTTTGGCCTAACAAAAGTCGTGAACAATTTCTTTAGTATATCGTCATCCATGAATTTAAAAGCAATTCTGAAGTTAGAAAGTGTGGCATAGGTTCCTCGCACAATATTCTTTATGTGGTCCTCAGGTGATAGTTTTCTATCTTGAACCACCCCTAGATCTCTTTCTTTATCAGAATTCTTTAAAGATTTCTCACATAATATATTGTGAGGTCTATGTTTTCCTATTCCACATTCCATAACATGGCATTTATTAACATTAAATTCCATTTGCCAAGTGGTGCTCCATATACTTATTTTGTCCAGGTCTTCTTGAAGGGCATGACAATCATCTAAGTTTTTTATCCTTCCTATTATCTTAGCATCATCAGCAAATATGTTCATATAATTCTGTATACCAACTGGTAGATCATTTATGTAGGCAATAAACATCACTGGTGCAAGAACTGAACCCTGTGGTACTCCCTTTGTGACACTTCTCCAGTCCGATACATTGCCTCTGATCACTGCCCTCATTTTTTTATCAGTCAGAAAACTTTTCATCCATGTTAGAAGCTTACCTGTCACCCCTCCAATATTTTCCAGTTTCCAGAAAAACCTCTTATGTGGAACTCTGTCAAAAGCCTTTTTTTAGGTCCAGATAGATACAGTCAACCCAACCACCTATTTCCTGTAATATCTCTGTTGCTCGATCATAGAAACTGAGTAAATTCGATACACAGGATCTTCCAGATCGAAAACCATACTGTCTGTCTGATTTTATATCATTTCTCTCCAGGTGTTCTACCCATTTAGTTTAATTATTTTTTCCAATATTTTGACTATTACACTTGTCAATGATACAGGTCTATAATTAAAGGGGTCTTACCTGCTTCCACTTTTGTAGATTGGAACTATGTTAGCCTTTTTTCACGCATCAACTACAACTCCTGTAAACAGGGATGCCTGAAAAATCAGTTGAAGTGGAATGCTGAGCTCAGGTGCACATTCTCTCAGAACCCATGGTGAAACTCCATCTGGACCAACTGCTTTGTTCATATTTGGCTCCTTGAGCATTTTTTCCACTTTCTCTCTAGACACCTCTATGTGTTCTATGTTGTTCTCTGGAATTCTTATTGTGTCTGGTTCCCTGACGATTTCATTTTGTACAAACACACTTTGGAACTTTTCGTTTAGTGTTTCACATATTTCCTTTTCATTTTCCGTGAATCTATTTCCCATTTTCAACCTCTGAATATTATCCTTTACCTGTAATTTGTTGTTTATGAATTTATAGAATAGACCTGGTTTGTTTTACATTTGTCTGCAATCCCTTTTTCAAAATTTCTTTCTGCCTCTCTCCTCACTGCCGTGTAGTTGTTTCTCGCATCTTTGTATCGCTGGTATGTTTGGGGGTTTGGCCTCTTCCTGTATTTATTCCATTTTTTGTGTCTTTTGGTCTCTGGCCCTCTCGCAATTTCTGTTGAACCAATCCTGTTTCCAAGTTCTGCATCTCTGTTTTGGAATAAATTTGTTTGTGCCTTTATCATATATTTCACAAAACTTGACATACATCCCATTCACTTCCTTGCCTAGCAACAAGTCTGTCCAATTATACTCACTAAAAAATTTTCTAAGGGTGCCATAATGTCCTCTCCTAAAGTCAGTTTTCTCAATTGCATCAACCTTCTTATTTTCTTCCAGATTATAACACATTGCATACTTTATTCCCAAAAAGACATGGTCACTTTTACCCAAGGGAGGAAGATACTGAATGTCAAATATTTCTTCCTCCTTCCTGGTAAATATTAAATCTAGCATGGAGGGAACGTCCCCTTCCCTCATCCTCGTAGCTTGTTTAACATGTTGATGCAAAAATGTTTCCAGGATGAGATCTACAAATCTACAGGTCCAAAAATCTTCTGTTTTAGCTTCATATGCTTCCCAGTCTATGGATTTCAAGTTGAAGTCGCCGACTATCAACAGTCGTGATCTATCATTATCCGCTCTCGCTATGATCTCTCTCATTACTGTTATAAGACCTTCTCGTTTACTATCTAGCTCCTCCTTTGACCATGTGCTGCTTGGCGGTGGACTATATGCATTTATGATCATTAGTTTATCATCCTCATGGCAGATCTCAGTGCTATTATGTCAACTTCTTGTGGATTGGCAGTCATTATTTCGTTCACCTTTAGGTGTTCTTTCACCAGCACAGCAACGCCACCGTCTTTCCTAATTTTTCTGTCCCGTCTCCAAATTGAGTAGCACCTTGGGAATATGACCTCATTTAAAATAACATCTTCAAGTTTTGTCTCCGTGAGTGCAACAATGTCTGGTGTCTGCAGCTGTATTACATTACTTATTTCCAGTATCTTCGATCTCACTCCATCTATGTTGGTGTATGCAATCTTCAGGAACTTGTTCCCCCTATTCTTATTTTTCACTCCCCCTCTCTCTAATGATTTTGTTGGTTTGCCTTTATGTACCACTTTACTGGTCTGCCTACCCCTAACACTTTGTAGAAAAAAGAATGGATTTCTTCTTCATTCCTGCTCTCATTTAAACGTTTTGCCTCGGCGAGGTTCAGTTTCAGCTTCTCTCTATCTTCTTTTGAAAGATCTCGTCTTAACGACCACACCTTCCCATCCTCATCACTTTGTAATTTTCTAGCGTTCCTTAGTACTTCTTCCATCTGTTTGGCACCATTTAGGGTGATCCTCAAAGGTCGATCTTTCCCTTTTACATATCTGCCTATTCTCCTGTAGTCGCACACATTCTCTATGGTTGTAAGACCTTCCACGAGGCCAACAATTTTATCTACTACTTCAAGGAAAAGCGTTAAATATGTATGTGTGTTTGTCATAGACTTA